CTCAGCCCTAGGAAGCAGGCAAGGGCAAACCACTTCTGAAAAACCTTGCCAAGAAAACTGCGGGGACTTGTCAGACGGTTTCCAAGAATAGGACGAGATTGAATGGATTTTTTTAAAAAACCTCTTTTCTATGTACGATGTATACAAAGCAGCAGAGACCTTAGATGTTTATTTATATACACATATATACCATTTGAAAGGAAGACCAGCTTGTGTGCTAAGCCCTGGAACAAATTCCTCCTTGGTGTCCCTTGAAGTTCTGCTTGTGGATCCAACTCAAAAGTTACTTTGCAAGGAAGATGTGCTCTGAACATCTGCACAATTCTTAGATTCACCAGTGCTACATTCAGTCTTAAAAGGATTTTTGTAATTAATTACCCATGCAGATATGAGCAGTTCTGGGAGATAAAAAAAGTAGCATCTCTTTCAAGTTGAGCTTGTCTTCTGGTGACTTCCTGGACATGTCTAGAACATGCTTGATGGTTTCTACCCAAATATTAACAAGATCTGATGCTATTTAGTTTCTAAGCCCTGGCAAAATGAAGTAGATACTGCTGTCCACTGAGAGATTAATTTGGAGAAATTTATTCTAATTTTGTCTAATTCTGATATGTATGCTGATGGATCACTTCTAGACATGGCTCTCAGTCCCAAATCCTTCTGTTAATGCCACCGCTTGAACAACTGAAAAATATTCATGGGAAAAATGAGAATCTTAGATTTATCCAAAACTGTGCTTTTGTATACAATTGTCCTTCACTAGACAAATTTAGAGGCACTAATAATTCTGATGCAGGAAGTGCTGGAACAGTCTACAAAAGAAAACTTAAAATAATCCATCTGAGTTTTCTTCCATAAAAAAAAAAAGGCATCACTGTATTTTCATAACATTGTCACTAAGTAAGATGCCAAAATATGAGTTATTTTTGATGACAGATATCCTAGCTGCTACGTTAAAAAATAAGATCTGTAAAGAAGATAACTTTGCTCCCTCAAGATGTACTGTCCGTTCAGTTTCTTTGCTGTAAATGTGGGAAATGGCCACTTTCTATCTACATAAATGAATATTTCTGAATTGCTTGGTTTGATGGCCTATATCAGTGTTTCTCATTCGCTGTTAAAGTGTGAATTTCCCAAATTCTGGGAGTTGAAGTCCACACATTACTGAAATTGAGAAACACTGGCCAATACCTTAGCTCTGTATTCTTCTGGAAATGTCTAAAGATTCTCCAATTAAGTTTTTCTACAAGAACAGAAAGGTTACAGAATTCACCCACCCACCTAATTTATACCGTAAAAGAGGAATTTGCCAGTAAATTACCTTTTCCCCAGATACCATACTAATCTACCAGCTGCATACATGGATATAAAAACTTCTTAGGTTACTGTTTTGTGAAAAGCCAAATTGTATTATCAGTTGCACTGAAAAGACAATACAATCAATCCAAGGTGGGAATGAACTATATTCTTCATTCTGGAGAGACAAGCACAGTTATGAAATCTGCTAAGCCATTCCTTTTGTAAGCATAAACCCCTTGCTGGTTATAGATTGACCATGCTTGTGTGATGTTTATGCAAAAACACATGTGGGCTTGGTGCATGCTGATAATCTGAGCCCCTTCCACCTGGACTGGCGTTTTACAGCAGAAGTTGTCTCTAGCAGAGTTCTTCTAAAACAGCTTTCCTTAAATGTAGTTCCCCCTCTGGTTATGCTGGAACTACAACTCCTGATCAAGGCCATGCTGGCTAAAAATGTTGGGAGTGAGAGTTTCAACACACCCAAAGAATATCTGATTCATCTTTCTCCATTTTTAATAAATCGTCCTATAATTATTATGGACGTACTATGGACCTGTTCCAATAACTCATTTAAAGCACTCTGAAATGCTACCCAGTTTGGATTACCCCACCTCCTGTTTGATGTCCTCTACTACACCAGTGTTTCTCAACTTTGGCAAGTTTAAGATGTGTGGACTTCAACTCCGAGAATTCCCCAGCCAGCATGCTGGCTGGGGAATTCTGGGAATTGAAGTCTACACATCCTAAACTTGCCAAAGTTAAGAAATGCTACAGCCTCACTTAATATTTGCTCAACTCTGGATACATATTCCAATTCCATATCTCTATTATCAGAAAAGCTTCACTAGGGAACCCTCTTTGATTATAAAATACTACCCCTCACCTAACAGAATCAAAACTACAGGACTGGTTGCTCACACCAAATTGTGGCTCCACTTCTTGTTCCCTGTGTAGCTTTAACTATTTTTAAAGTAGTACTTTTCCCCTGGCTGTAGTGATAGCTTTCAAGATGTTCTCTTGTTCTCCCTCTTTTTCAAGGTGTAATGCGTTGAGAAAGCTTCCCTTATACAGACTGCTGAATCCTAACGAGAGATACAAAGATAAGAAGGCTTGATTGTCATAGAAAGATTTATATTTTAACCCCTTTCCGATTACTCATCTACCCTGTTTGCTACCAGCTTAACCGACCTGAGCTAATATTCAAAAATTCCTCCATCTTCCCCACAAGAGTTTAGATAGTCCTCAATTGAAGCAGCATCCTAAAATAGTGGTATGCATAACACCATGGCCAGGTTGCAACCTGCTTAGTGAATGTGACTATATTAATGTCTTCCTGGTAGGATTGATGTCTTTCACCTACTGTTAACAGTTCTCCCATCTTTAGTTTCTCGGCTTCTGCCTGTTTAGGGATGTGCATTCCTCAAAACACTGTATCTTTGGACAGATGATAGCTTTAATTCCCATCACCTCAGGGTTTAAGCTTAACTCTCCAGAAAGGAATGTGTATTGTGCTTATTCAAATAAAAAAAACCCAAGACAGGAATTCTGAAACTCTTGAAGCAGAAAGGGAAGGGAGAGGAAAAGATCTTTCTCCTTACTATGCAAAGATTAATTTATAAAGACCTTGGAGTCTCTGTATTAGATAGCAATCTTTACTGCCTATACTTTTGTGTTTAACCATCTTCTCATCTCAGACTATGAGCAAAATACAGGTTCCTAGCAATGTTTGACAGGATGGTACCAAGCAGCAAAGTCTATCACACTGAAAAGTTCAAGCAACTTAAGTCTTTTCCATGATCTACTGTACTCATATTGCAAGGTCTTATAAAAAGACTACCGTTAACAGAATTTCTTATCAAGGTCCACCACACTGGACAGTCTTGTTAAAGGTCCTAACATGGTGGAACTTTTTCATTTTAAGTCAAAATGGCCCACAGCCCATCTCAGTGGTAGTCTTTATCTTAAGTTCCACAAGGGGACCAGCCCACGGGTCTCCTTTTCATAAACATCTGGGACCAACCCAATGGGTGAAGGCACCATCTTGACAGTGTTCTTGCCAAACAGCTTGCGTTCATATTCAATGAGTTGTCTCCAGAAGCCTACGTTGGGCCTTACAACAGGTCGCCTGCTCTTCACCCACTCATGAGCATCCAAGAGGCTCAATCGATGATATTTCATTAGATAAGCAATACAGAGGGAAGCAGACCGACTGACACCTGCCACACAGTGGACTAGGGTTCTTCCATTCTTCTTCCCTGTCTGGTGTATCCTATCAGCCACGGAGTCAAAGTACAAGGACAGTGGAGCATGGGGGAGGTCCGGAACAGGCACCTTCACATAGTCAATGTCTGGCCAGTTGGCATTGGGGATTTCCATGGTGGCATTTACTACACAGGTCACCGCTCGGGAGTACACCATGTGTCTGTTGGATGCAGCATTGCCAGAGCAGAGATAGAGACAGGGAGAGATTTGAGCAATGCCTCCCAAGACTGACAATGTGTTCCCAGCAGCAGGAGACGGCTTGGCCACCGAAGGGGGTGGAGAACGGCGAAAGAACCCATGGTTCCGGAAATTCATGGTGGATGGTTCAGCATACATAACAGCTATGGGGGGAGGGAGGAGAGAGAGTGAGAGAAAAGAAGCAAAGTCTTAAGAACTGATGCACTTTTAACAGTTAAAGATTAGTATTTTGCCCCACAAATGAAAAACCTTAACTCTCTTCTTTATTTTAATAAATTGTTTTGTTTTGTTTTTTAAGAGTGGAGTATGGGACCTACAGAGTTTTGGTGTGTTTTTTTAAGAGGTAAGTATGGGACCTACAGAGATACGGAATGAAGTAGTTAGAAATAGATTTTGGAGCCAACAAAATTAATGGATGGATCAGCTGCAGTCTGCAAATGATACGGTGAAGCAGAATAAGACTGGTGGCAGAATAGAAGGAATGGAGGGAGGAGGAACAGGCATGAATAAGTACATGGAGGCCTGAAAGAGGGGTGGCAAACCAAAACATCAGCAAGTTCTACTTCTCCACAAAGCCAAATAGTTCTCAATATCCTACCTCAGTCATTCCCCTGGAGCTCTCTAGAAGCTGCTGTCATCCAGAGGGGACCCCTGCTTCTTA